TGGCAGGTGCCTGCGAGCCAGAGAGAGAGAGACGGCGTGAGGCTGAGCCCTGGCCAAGGGGGGACACCGGGGGCTGCATCGGGGCGGAGGGACGGACGGCTGTGCCACCGAGCTGCTCAGCCAGGGCAGGAACGTGGTCTCACGCTGGGCAGGAGGAGGTTTCACCAGCTGCTCTTGACATTTCTCCTCTGCCCCAGCTACGAGGGGGAACGAAGCCTCCAGGGATTAACCCGCTTGCTTTGCTGTCATCAAGAACTCCTCTCTCATTAACATCAAAGGGGAAGGAAGCTATTAGAAGTTTATTATTAATTCATTAATTAGGAACTCGATGGAGGGAAATGATCCGAAGATAGACAGAGAGACGCTCCCTTTATCCACCGGGAGCAGTGGAAAAGGGACATGGGGCAGAGCCGGAGAGAAAGGGAGACCTCAGGAGCAGCAAATAGTGTGCATGAGCACATCCCCGGACTGCCAGAAGCAGCGAAATGGCATGTCCAGAACAGGCAGCAATGGATAAATCTGCCCCAGGGGCTTCAAGCTGCTGGTTAAGCGGTAGCTACCTCCTGATGTATGCTTGCTGCCAACACAGGGACACAGGTGGGACAGAAACTGCTGGGATACTGAATCCCAGTGAGTCGGGAAGGGCCTGGAGGGCAGGCAACAGGACTTCCATCAGAAACACAGAGGAACATCACCACCACTGGCAGGGCGATGCTGAAAGGGAAATGCTTGTGTCCTCCCTAGCGTCGCTCTGGCCGGCTCCTCCCTGCTTTGCTGGCCGCTCTCGGCCACCACAGACCACACGCACCCACCTCAGCCCGCAGCCTGCCCTGCCCATCCCCTGCCACGTCTCTGGACGTTTTCTGAAGGCGGCTGCTTTTTAAATCATACAGCACATTAAACAGCGCTGCGTCCTCACCAGGCAGGCATTAGCCAGGCCCAAGCACGGTGTGAATCGTGTCTCCACGGGGTAATGTGTCTCCCTAACAGGCAGCCGCAGCCTCAGCTGGCAAGAGTTTGCTAATGCCTTTCAAAACACACCTTCTGCTCAAGTGCTGGCTCCGATAATTATTTAATAAATATTAATGAACCATTTGCCAGCTCAGCTTCCTGCACAGCGCGGTCACCTGCTAGTCACTGGTCCCAGGGTGGCCTGCAGAAGGTCCCTAGGTGAACCTGAAAAGCTCTGCTCCACCTCAGCCTGCAGCGCAAGGATACAAGCAACGGTTTTGTCACTCAGCTCTAAACCTCTGGCAATGGGTTGAACGCACAGAGGGCATTATCTAGCCCCAGGGGCACCTTCCGGGGCATCCAGCATGGACAAGTTCTGAACCACCACCCTGTCTTCCTGCATATCAGAAGGACTTAGACCTGGAAGTTGACTCAGAGCATCACCAGTAGATCTAGGAGGTGAAGCACCTCCATGTAAGCGTGTGACTCAGAGCATCACCAGTAGATCTAGGAGGCGAAGCACCTCCATGTGAGCATGCTGTGAGCCTGGAGCTGGGATAAACAGAGGCTTTTTGAGGCTGGGAGGTCACTAGCTAGCTAAGGAATAGGGAGAGTCCACCTTCCTATGTTTCCCCTGGGATGAGACCCCAAAGTACCCCCTCCAGCTCATCCCTCCTGCCTTCCAGGCATCCTTAAAGGTCCTTCACGCCTGCCCAGGTGGGAACACAATATTCACTCACTTGGGCATCCAGCTGCACCCACTCCGAGCGCCAAGGTCATGTTGTCTGGGCAGCATCCGTAGATGGTCTGGCTGCAGTGCACAACCAGGAGAGGTGGCGGGGTTGTGGCAAGGGCTGCAGAGGAAGGCAGAGAGGTACAGGTCATCTTTGGCACGCAGGCTGCTGCAGGGCTGTATTGCCAACGGACGGCTCAGGCAGCTAGCAGCATGCCTGCAAAACCACACGGTCCTTGCAGAGATGCTGGGAACGACGAGGTGAGGTCCTACCCTGGGCCAGGGAAAGCACAGGGCATGAAACGGGAACGATGCCGGGGGGATCAGCAACCCAACGCAGACACTGCTGTGTCCTTAAGCGAGCGCTTCCTTGCTTAGCCCCAGGGAAAGGGCACGTGTGACTGCAGGGCACCAGCCTGGGGACCAGCACACACAGCTTGTGTCAGCCTAGGGGGGCTGGCTGCCTTCGGGGGACTCACCGCGGCAGGCTCCTTGGCTAGTGACATAGAGATCCTGGCGTTTTTCACACCGTGTCTTCTTCAGCTCACACTCGTTGGTGTAGGTCACACCATCAGAGCCACACACCTGCCAGGACAGGGAGGGGAACCGCTCAGGGCAGCCCCCGGCACAGGAAGGCAGGTTCCCTATCCATGGGATGCCCTCTCCTGCCCAGGAAGCACGCGGGAAGGCCACCAGGGAGAAGAGAGGAGGGGAGCCAGGACCGAAGCAGGCAGCGCAGAACTGCTCGGCGTGCTTACCGGGCTGCGTGGCACTGCCAGGCAGGTGAAGTCACACACACAGCGGTCATCCTCTGCATCCTCGTCCCACCAGCCCCCGTACTGCCGGCACCGGTCTTGTTCACACTCGCTACCGTCGCCGGAGCCCGAGCCCCCTGAGCCGCACTCTGGAGCGAAGGAGGATGGTGGTGAGAAAGGGCTCACACCCAGCAGGGCAGAGCTAGGGGAAAGCAGAGGGGATGGGACCAAAGCCCTCTCCTCCCTGACACGAGGCTGCGCCCTGGACAGGGGAAGCAGCCCACTGCTGCACAGGCCCGTCCACATCACAGCAGATTGAATCTCTCCAGCACAGGCAACCCCAGAATCCTGAGCCCAGATATATTAGGATGTTTACGCCCAGACCTCAAAGAAAATCCCTCTCCCTCGGAGAAAGCAGATTCCCCCACCGCTGTCACAAGATTGTACTAAGCCTCCCTAATGAAAACCCCAAAGGGATGCTTTTAGCAGGTGGCCTGAGGTCTTCCTTCCTACAGCAGCACAGCAGGAGCAAAAGCAAGGACCCTGCAGCTACCAGAGCCCTGCAGGCTACCTGGAGATCAGACAGTTAATAGCCACGCATAGAGGGAAGGGCTGCCACTTGACTTAGCGAGGCACAGCTTTGATCTGACTCTTCCCCCTTCTCCTGCCCTCCCAAACACATCGTGCAGCAGGGAGGTTGCTGCAGCTAATATAAACATGGAAACCAGAGCAGGGGAAGGGATGGGGTTCGGGTTTAGTTTGAAGTTCAGTTAGGCCGATATTCTTAACAATATATAAACTCTGTCCCTAGCCTGGCTGCCTCTCTCCATAAGATGCTCAGAGCTCCAGCAGCAAGAGAGAGATGTTGCTGATTTCAAAGGCTTCTCAAAGGGGAAGCGGGGGGAAGGCAAACCTGGCCCTTTTTATTGAGTGATCAAAGGCTGGGATTTGGCATTACACAGAGAATTATTTAAGATCTTTTCCCAGAGGGACATCAACCTGAAATTCCCCAAGGAGGGCTGTGATCAAACACCATGTTATGTCTTCTCCTCTCCCTAAGCTCTGCCATAGTGCTGAAGTCCTTTCCAGCTAGGCTATATCTGCACTGAGCCAGAGAATCTCAGCTCGCCAGGGAGAGGTTTATGCACCTTCTGTACTCGGATTCAGCCAGCCTTAACCCACAGCTTTCCCCCTACGTGGGAAAACTCAGCAGATTCTTACATCTTAGCCTGCCCAAGCCAGGTACACCCAACACCACAACCTTCCCTGGTGCTCGGTGACAAGCCAATAGTGGCCACAAGCCAGGCCCTCGAGCAGCCCCCGGGGCAGAGGGAAGCGGAGCAGCAGCCAGGCTCCCCACCCCAGGAACGGCTCTGTTTTCCCCCAGCCAAGGCCCACTGAAGTGTGAAACGAAAGCAGCGACAAAGTCCTTGCCCAGCCGATTAGGTGGCATGGTCTCGATTAGGTGGCGTCACCTCGTTACTGTTGGATCCAGAAAGACAAAAGGAAAAAGGGAGGCGGCAGGCAGGGTGCTGGGCGACAGCGGCCAGCCCTCCAGGAGGGAAGGAGAGCATCCCTGGCATGGGACCTGCTGCGCTGGGCACGCTGGCAGTGCCACAGGGCACTATGCCCGAGCTCCATGCAGCGGGGCAGCCCGCTGCGGGCAGCCTCGGCCCTTCCTCACCCTTTCCCCCCCCACCCCCGTCTCCCCA